CTCTGGAGGCACAACAGGCGCCACAACACACGTTTTTTGCTGCGCCAGCGCCTAGGCTTAAGTCGGGCCTGTCCCCCGACAGGGGGATTCTGGAGGAAAAATTTGAGAAAGACCAAACACATACTCCAAAATGGTCACAACAAATAATCCAAAAGTAGTCCCCCGAACATTTCTTGGCTACTTCTGCATCTTCCTCCTGTAGAGGGACAGGCCCGACTTCAAGGCTCAGGCAGGGGTCGCCTGTGTTCCGGCCGCAGAGGCCAACTCAACGGGAGCACCGCTGTAGCGGAGTGACCCGCTCGCGGGGCGCGGCTTGCGCAGGCTAGCAGCCGGAAGCCTGCTCACAACCTACGCTGGGGCTGCAAGCCAGCACGCTTTGCGGGCCACGCTCGCCACCGACCCAGAGACGCAGCGTTGCGATAACGCGCTGGCCAGCTGCTGGGAAGACCTGGCAGGCAGGGACCTCGATCCGCAAAGAGGGGGATAAGGGACGGAGCGGGCGGCCGCGGGAAGGCCCACCCGCTCCGTCCCTTATCCCCCTCTTTGCGGATGAGGAGGAGGAGGAGGAGGAGGAGGAGGAGGAGGAGGAGGAGGAGGAGGAGGAGGAGGAGGAGGAGGAGGAGGAGGGGGGAGGAGGAGGAGGAGGAGGAGAGGAGGGGGAGGGGAGGAGGAGGAGGAGGAGGAGGAGGGGGAGAGGAGGAGGAGGAGGAGGAGGAGGAGGAGGAGGAGGAGGAGGAGGAGGAGGAGGAGGAAAGAGAGGAGGAGGGGGGGGAGAAGCAAGGGCCACTCCTGGGGGGACGGATCGCCCACCACGGCAGGGGCGGGCCGCACGTGCGTCGGGGCCAGGGCGTCGCGAGTCTGCCCGCACGTAGGCGGCAAAGGGGCGGCGGCGGAGGGAGGGGAGCTGGGCGCGGCGGCACGCACGCACGCACACACACACACACACGCACGCACACACACCTCATGTCGTGCAGCTGGTTTTCCGCATCGCAAGAAGAGACTCTCGTGGCAGGGAGGCGGCACGACACGACGACGGGGACGCCGGGCGACACGACACGACCACGGCGCAGCACGCGCCACTCCTCGGAGGTCCGCGCGGAGTTCTTGGATCGGCGCTGGGCCGCCCGCCGTCCATCGCGGCGTAAAGCGCGCCAGGGGCGGCGCCCGAAGCGCCATGGGGGGCCCAACGCCGAGCCAGGAAATCTGCGCGGACCTCCGAGGAATGCGGGCAAGACCCGCCCATATCCGCTGCAGCTGGGAGTTTCGGGCTCCCTTCTCCAGCAACACGAGGCGCACTGGATATGGATACAAGTCTCGCCTCTAGAGGCTCGATATTGATCCATCGGCCGCCCGGCGCCCCTTCCAAGAAAGTCAAAGACGAACGGGGTGTGGATATACAGATGCGTAGATGAAGCCAGGACGAGGATAGAATCGGGTGAGGACGAATCGAGAATCTCTGAGATCCAGCGGGTCAAGAGGAAGTCTCGGGCGCCACGGCCTTCTCAGAGCGTCCCGGAATGCTCTTAGAGCGTTTCTGAACGCTCTCGAGCGGATTCATCCTCGTCCTAGCCCAGTGCGACTCTGGCGCCTCCTCTCACCTCATCTGGCATCTTGTTGCTCCTGTCTAAACTGAAGTCGGGCCTGTCCCCCATACAGGGGGATTTTGAGCGAAACAAATATCGAACAATACTCCCGAATGACCAACAATAGTAAACAAATCGTACCCAGACTATCTTTTTCTATTTTTGAATGTTCCCCCTGTAGAGGGACAGGCCCGACTTAGTCTAAACTGATCGGCATGTGCCTTCTGCTCTGCCGCAGCCTGATGCATCGATCCGAGCGCGCTCTGGGCGCGCATGCCAGGCATCACCGTCACCAAGAGAGCAGCATCTCACCTCTTGCTTGCCATCGCTCGGACGTCCATTCCTCGTGCGTGTTTCGGTTTCGTACGTGCGTTTCTTGCCAGATGATCCAGGTTGCTCCTCGATGGCATCGCCGATGAAACAATGCACGCACCCGAGCGATGCCAAAGCACCACCACGGGCCCATGCCGCCCGCGGAGTATTGCTTATGCCGCTTGTTGTTCTTCGGATTGCGGAGCGATCGGTGGCAACTCATGGGAGCCTCCCGTACCATCTTGTTGGTTCTTGCGAATCGACGCTTGCCGACGCTAAGTCGACGCCTATCGACGCTATAAATCGACACGAATCAACGCTATCCCATCGACTCCCAGACGCTAATCGACGCTAGCCGACGCTAAAGACATAATCAAGAGGGTATACCAGGCTCCCATGATTTGCAGCCGAATGGGGCGGGCAAGCGCCACAATTGGGAGTCCCCAAACGTGGTGGCGACAACACAGGGCGATGAGTCTCGGGCGATTTGGTGTCACCACCCGGTTTGGGGACTCGTGTGCTTCTTCGAAGATGTCCCGAACGCTGGTGGGCCCAGGAGTCACAAAACCATGCGGCGACCCCGAGCTCCAAGACCCGGCGGTGCCTACTTTTTGGGGTGATTCCAAATCACAACCTGATACCTCACCACATGGTTTGTAGGAGAGCCCAGAATCGAATCGATAAGTCGGATCGGCGATCGACAGAAATCGGGTCGGAGGGATCGGCACCCGAGTCGGGAAAAGTCGAATCGGCGGAAATCGAAAGGCTAGTACGCCTCCACTGAGGATTCGGAGCCCAACATCGGAATCCCAACTCCTCGAATCCAATCGAAACGGAAGCCATCGAAGTCGAATCGAATCAAATCGGAGGAATCGATACGAGCCCTGGGTTTGGGGGCTCCCAACAGAGGCGCCCCCTCCCCGCTGCTACCCGGACCTGGGAGAGAGAGCCGAAGCACACGCGAGGGTTGGGTCGGGCATGCCCTCCTGCAGGCGGATCTTGGACGAACAATCAAACATAGCAAAAAATCAGACCCCCAACAAGGTCAAAAATAGTCGGCAGATCGTCACCGGACTATTGTTGCATTATTTTTGAACATTCCTCCTGCAGGGGGGCACGCCCGACTTCAAACCTGGGAGCGGGAGCCGCACCACACGCGAGGGGGCTCCCGCTCAGCAGCGGATGGGCGAGGCCCGTCATCGCCGCGCCCCGCCCAGGGAGGCGCCCCGAGGCCGCGCCGCGGTGGCCGCGGGAAGGGACAAGGGGCCACGCTGGGTGGGGGGCACCGAGAACTCCGCGGCGGAGCTACAAAAGTTATTACCCGTCGGTCGGAAGAAGCAGGTAGAAAGCATGAAGTAGGACGGCGTTGAAAGTAGAGTGGGTTCCGTCCGCTCTCTACGAAGGACGAAAAAGGTGCAGCCACTCGATCATTGAAGCATAAAGGCGGTCCACAAATACCTACTTTCAACGACGGGTATGTGTGTGTGCGTGTGTTGTTTGTACCGATACCGCTGATTCCCAGACCTCTCCTGGGGCGCGTTCTGACTAGGATTTCGAGGCGAGTCCAGCGGCGGCGACGTGGCCCAAAAAGGGGAAAACGAGAGAAGGGTCTGCGCGGATTCCTTGGACCTGCGCAGGACTTCCCTCCCTGGCGCGCGGAGCGCGCCAGGGGCGGCGCCGGAGGCGCCGCCTGGGGGGGGGACCCAGCGCGGATCCAAAGATTCCGCGCGAAACGCCCACAGTTTGTTGATGGCGAGCATCGCCGACGCATCGGCGATGCGGCGCGATCCTCGGACCCCATCTGCTCGGACCCCACCTGGGATGCTCTCCTCCTCCTCCTCCTCCTCCTCCTCCTCCTCCTCCTCCTCCTCCTCCTCCTCCTCCTCCTGGGACGCCAGCAGGGCGGCTCCCTTCTCGGCGCACCGCGCTGCGGGGCGCGGCCGAGGCGCCTATGCCGCAACGCGTGCGGCGCGCGCGCTCCGGGCGGGTTCCCGCTGGCGCGCTGGGGCGAGACTGAAGGGACAACAAGCGTTAAGTCGGGCATGTCCCTCTACCGGAGGAATGTTGAAACAAACTCCCCCCCAAAAAAACATGGGGACGATTGCAGCACTATTTTTGTCAATGTTTGAGCATGTTTTGGCTGTGTTGTATTTTTCGTAATACAATCCGCCTGTAGGGGGACACGCCCGACCTAAAACAAACGACCACAACCACATCAAGGACACTTTTTCTTCGTCGGCGGGGATGCAAAGAAGCTGCTTCAGCGGATGGCGATTCGGGGCGACCGAAAATCGAATTAACCAGCGTTCAAGAGGGGGAGCAGGGGGGAAGGGGCGGCCGCGCGGAGGACAGGAGGAGGGGGGGGGGGCACTCCGACGCGAAGACTTCCGTGTCGAGTGGGCTGGTGCGACCAGCAGCGGCACCGGGGCAAACCCTGGGGGATGTCCTGCGCAGGCCACGCAACATTCCGCAACACTAGAGGACTCCTAGATGGGGTCCGAGTAGATGGGGTCGGAGGATCTCGCCGCATCGCCGATACATCGGCGATGCATCGCCGATGCATCCGCGATGCACTTGCGACGTCGGCGGTGCATCGGCGACGTCGGCGTGGAGAAAACTGGGCCCCACATCGAACCCGCATCGCCGATGCATCGCCGACGCATCGGCGATGCGGCGCGATCCTCCGACCCCATCTGCTCCGACCCCATCTAGGAGGCCTAGAAACACCGAAACCAGCTTCGGACGGGTCGTGGTCGATCCGGGGGCCCAGGATGCCCCAACTCGACCACAACCACAGCCAGCGTGCCCACGTCGAGGTCGGCGGGTTCTCCCCTTGAGGGGCCTCCCCGAGCCAACACGCTGCTGGGGAAGCCGAAGGGTACCGATACCGCCAGTGGGGAGGAGGAGGAGGAGGAAGAGGAGGAGGAGGAGGAGGAGGAGGAGGAGGAGGAGGAGGAGGGGGAGGAGGAGGAGGAGGAGGGGGAGGAGGAGGAGGGGGAGGGGGAGGAGGAGGAGGAGGAGGAGGAGGAGGAGGGAGGAGGAGGAGGAGGAGGCCCGGACCTCTGCAGGGAGCGTTGTGGCGAGAAGGCCCCAGCGAATCCAGCG